AACAAGAAGGAGGTAACTGCGCAAGCAGAGATAAACCTCTTGTTATTTTTCTCTTTCGGGGTTTGGCCGAGCTGTCGATGGGGCTCCAGTTTTTTTTTTTTTTTTTTTTGAGGTTCTGTACCTAACCTTTATTGCGTTTTTTTAATTTTTTTTTTGCTGAAGGAGCAGCAGGTACGTTCGTCACTGCTGGCTGCTAAAGGAAGAGGCTTGCAGAGTCCACGGAGCTGTCGTGGCAGTTCTGTGCAAGGAAACAGCAGAAGTTGGCTGGAGAACGTGTGATGGTTTTTGTTATGTATTTATTTATTTATTTTTCTTCTTTGCAAGAGGACACACAGAAGGTTGACCGATGCTGCGGCGCATACCAGACTGGGGCATGCCTATGGTGGCCCACCAGATGGCAGCTGGATGTGGGGGATTCTTCTCTTTTCGTGGGGTTCGTAACACTCGCCATGACAGCTGCAACGACGAGCTGACCAGCAGCCACTTCGACCTGCAGGACATTCCCGTGGACCGCCTGACCCACCGCTACTGGGACGACGTGAACACGCCGTACGACATGTTTCTGCTCGATGAATTTCCTTTTGAGGAGGGCGGCGTGGACACCGCAGAACATATTTTTGAGCGGGATCGCCAGCTGCTTTTGAAGGAGTACCTTTAGGCGTGAGGTGGTGGGGCCTCATGTAGACACAGACACGCAGAGGGTGAGGGAGCGAAACTCACAGAGGGTGAAAGCGCACAGGGGTTATAGATACGGAGAAGGACAAGAACTAGTGTGGATGGGACCGTTCCTGTCTCGTCGCGGTGATCCAGTTTTCTTTTTCACATGCGCATTCTCTCTTAAAGAAAAAAAGAGAAAAAGAAGAACAAAAAAGCATTGGAAACAGAAGGAAAAAGCAACAACAAAAAGCAAAGAGTGTTTTCACAGTTCCCCTCTTTTTATATTTATATCTTTTTTTTTTATCGGGGCGCCTTGCAATGTTTTTATCTCTTCGCTTTACACAGTCGCTTTTCTGTATCTTTCCCCCCCCCAACTCTTTTTTCTCTGCTTTGATGAACACGAAACCAGGGAGTCAAGAAGAAGACGGAAAGAAAAATGAAAGAATGAAAAAACAGACTTTCCCCGCAAGTGCTGCTGAACAAGAAAGATGATTGGACGAACGCCACTGCAATGGAAAGTGGCGGCATTAGAAATGTGGCAGTTTGCTTCGGTTGTATGTTTTTTTTTTTTTTTTCATGAAGTGCCTCGCTTTCAAAGATGCTGCACAGCCGGCTCTTGTTTTGGGCTCGATGCTTTTGGTCGAAAGTGTGCTGGCGCCATGCGTGGCTTGGGCGGCAATGCTGTGCACCGCCAGCAGACCCTGTGGCCACGCGCCATGAGGCGCCGCCTTCAAAAATATTTGCGGACTTTGATGTGCAGTTTGGTGTGCCGTACGCATTGCAGGGTTAATATGTGCGTCCAGAGGGCTGAGCTACGGTGCCAGAGCCTCCTGCGTGAGGGGTGAGAGCGCAGCGATTGCTGCAATATTTGGCAATTTGTGGCCACGCCGCTGTACGCGACGGCGTTCCGAGTGACGTGAGCATGACGAGCCTGCCCGGGAATGGGGCAGGAGTTCCGTTCCTTTTTTTTTTTTTCTCTTCTTATTTGCAGCGTCTGTGACTTGTTCTCTTACGTACCAGAATTTTGATCACGCCATCGTATTGTTTGTTCTCCCACCCTCTTTTTAAATTTTGCTTTTTTTTTTTTTTTGGACTTATTTTTTATAAATTTTTTTCTCCACATGTTGTGACTCGCGCTTATTTTGTTTTTACGGGCGGTTTTGTTCTCCAGCGGGGGGAGGAGGAGGGTGGTCGCCATCATCACGAACGAGTGCCTACGTTTTTGGGCCGCCTGCGTGCCTGCCTCTGCTGCCCACGCACACCTGAAGCGTCCTTTTTTTCTTGTCGTCTCCGAGTGTCACTAGCGGGGTATCAGGTGGAACTGAAATGCAGCGACGGTGGTTGAATTGCGCTGCTGTCTTCTTAGCGGCTACGGCTGTGCACACCACGCAGCGCGGGATGCACGGAAAGCCGACACAGTCGCACAAGGTCCGCACCCAACACAGCCGACGGTGGTGGACGCAGTCGAAGGCTCGTCACCTCACAGCAATGCCACACGATGAGTGTAAGTCCCGTCCACACTTCCCTGCCTATAACGAGGATGTAGATCGCCCCATGTTGGTACCGGCCGGTGCAATTTGCTTCAATTGCGAGAAGCCTATTGATGATAGGGACGTCAACAGCTACGTCTGGATCCCAGCTGGAAATGCCACGGTCCCAACGACGCAGGGGTACTTCTTTCACTTCAAATGCTTCAAGTGTTGGAAATGCAAGTACCGTCTAATACACAACAAATTTTACTCCAAGGACGGTAAGGCGTGGTGTGTTGCGTGCGCCCTGGGAAGGGACATTCGCGTGCCCACGCGCCGTTGGCACACTTCCTACGTGAATACACATCGCACAGGCTCTAGAATGTCGGGTCACTTTTTCCCACGGCACCAACATCAGATGGCATTTTTGCTTGATCCCAATGAATAGTGCGCCTTGGACTTATGCATTTGTCTGCATATACATATATATGTTGGTCTAATTGCCTCTTGACTCTTCTTCATCTTTATTTGTAGCGCACGATTGGTGATCATCGCCGTTTATATTGATTCCGTCTTCTTTTGGGCTTTTTTTTTGCGCTTTTTCTCCCTCCCTTTCTCTGTAATGTGTGTAAAATTGCTTTATTACGGCGATAACTGAATGTATTTGATACTTTCCGCCACAACCTTTTGATGCCTTTCTTTTGGTGCGTGAGCCCCTATTGGACCCAACTTCCTCCCCCCTCCCAATAATAGTAAGAAACTGAAGCAAGGAGAAATAATTGAAGCGACTAGTCAACGATGGAGTGGTTGAAAATTGCGCTAGTTGCGTTTTCCGGGCGGGGAAATGACGTAGACTACCCGTGCAGCATTCTGGGACGCGTGGCTAACAATGACAAGGAGCTCGTAAATATTCTGCGCAATGGTTTCTTTCTTTTGACGTACCGCATGAATTTTAGCCCGCTTCCCCACTCTTCCGTGACCTCCGACAAGGGCTGGGGCTGCCTGGTGCGATCCTCACAGATGCTGCTCGCCCATGCGCTTTGGCGTTACTCGGCGAATGACTGCAGGCTTGACCACTTTTGTGACATGGACACAGAGGATAGCACCCCCTTCTCGCTCCATAAAATGGTGCGGGCGGTGATGAAAAAGGCCGACGTGTTCAGGCCAGAGTACTGGACACCGAGCCAGGGCTGTGAGGCGATCCGCTGCTGCGTGAACAACGCTGTAGATCGGAAGCTTATCCCTCCTATCCGCGTTGTGGTTTGCTCCCAAGGATGTCTCTTGGCAAGGGAGATTTGTTCCAACTTAGAATTTGGCACTGTGCTCATATTGGCTCCCATGCGTTGTGGTGCCTCACGGCGGATGACGCAGATGATGTTCTTTTCACTCGAACACCTCCTTCACTCTTCGGCATGCATTGGCGTGGTGGGCGGCGTGCCACAACGCAGTTATTACATTCTGGGAACTAGCGGCCAGAGGCTTTTGTACTTAGATCCCCATTGCATGACACAGGAGGCTTTAGTCTCGGGCCACGCAGAGAAGGCTGGTGTTGTGACTGTCACGGCGAGCCTTGTCAAAAGTGTACGGTGGGACTGCGTCGACACGTCTTGTTTTTTAGGATTCTTGGTGGACTCTTTTGCTGAGTGGTTGGAGTTACGAACGTGTCTCGAGGAGTTGCAGAGGCGTGGAATGGAGCAGTTGCTTTGCGTGGATGATGGCGATGCGGTAGGCCTTGTTGACGAGGAGATAGCGGGTTGGCCGAGTGAGGATGACGTGGCGGAGTAGTCGTGGCCTTCATTGGCCGAAGGGCGGCAGCGGTAATTTTTTTTCTTTTTTTGTGCGGCCGCAACTTTAATTTTCTGCGTGCTGGTGTTTTCTATCGGCAAACTGCCTGTTTTTTTTTTTTTCTTGCTGTTTCAGCTTAGCGGTATGACGCCGGAATCCATCTGGAGTGAATTGGGCTGTTGCGACTGTGTTAATTTTCCTTTCAATTTCTTCTGGAGGTGAATGGATGGCGTTGGGGCATTGCCGAGTAAATTGTTATTGCAGCCTGAGTGTAAGCTATTTCCTTTTTTTTCTTTTTTCTGTTTTCTGTGCACGTGCATATGTACACACCCGCATAAACGCATTTGTGGATCCTTGGGAATCAGTGTGTAGTTTAGCTGTGAAGGAAGCGTTGGTGGTGCATGCGGCGCTGCGTGGCGCTTTCATGGCTGCAGTATCGCGGCAGCGTGCGCGACTCACGTGTTTCATGTGGCTGCGTGAAAACAATTCGACGTTGGTGCCTTTCACTGCGCATCCCCTCCGTGCAGTTTGCTGCACCCCGCTCCCAGACTCACGAGGACCTTGCGTATGCAGCTTGTCCCATATGTGGTCGTCTTACGCACATGTGTGACATGTTCACACACCTCACAACCGCCCATCGCGAGCTGAACCCGGCGCACTGCAAGAAGATCTGCGGCGAGCGGCTGGAACTCTACCAGCAGGTGATTGGCGTTCCTCTAAAGAAAATGGAGCTCACCACTTCTGGCCGTCGGGTGCTTGACTTCTTGCCCACAGTGCTGCCATCCGGTTATATTTGCAACTGGTGCGATATGAAGAACGATGTGTATCCTACGAGGGATAAATTCCTCAAGCACGTGGCCGACGTCCATATGGAGATTGACCTGGAGGACGTCGAGCAGCACGTCCCGCTGCTGCCACGTGGAGTCGTGGAGGAGAAGAGCAGCACACGGGAGGAGATGCGGCCCACACGGCGTCTGGCTGGTGTTGAGGCCGTTGCCGAAACGTTCACTATTCCGTTCGTTGCCACGCGCCAGGTGGCTGTTTCCATACCGCGTGTCATTGACAAGAAATTAACACAGCAACCGGTTGTGTTCAGCGACACGGAGTTTCCATGCGAGCTGTGCAACAAGGTTTTCCAGAGCGAGATGGACCTGCTGCAGCATCTGGAGACGCGACACCCAGATGGATCCGCCGGGGCGTCCACTGACGTGGGTCAGTCAGCCATTGCCGAGGTGGCGGAGTTTACCGCAAAGGAGGCAACAATGGGTATCAGCCAGCGTGTGCACGTCGTTTGTGACCTCTGCCTGACATCTTCAAAGGTGTACACAATGCCTTCCGCGCTTTTTTCTCACATACGCTTCAAGCACCCTGGCGAAGATGCCGCGTACCATGTGGAGCGCCTCATTCGCACGCAGAAGGGTCAGTCATTTGTATGCAAAGTCTGTAATAAGGCATTTGCAACAGCCGCCGCACTTGAGGGCCACTTTAGCAACAAACATGGAGAGCAAGCGGGTGCACTGTTGGGTCAGGGGCGTGTGGCGATGAATAACTGTTGGTGGTGTCACGACTGCGAACGGGGCTTTTCAAGCGCCAAGGGACTGCACGGCCACATGCAGAACAAACACGGGCTTTCTACACAGGTGCATCCATGCCCCGCATGCAAACGCGTGTTCTCTGATGTGTACTCCCTGGAGGAGCACATCACACTGGTGCACAAGACGATTCATTTGACCGACATTGGGCTGCAGACGCATGCGAAGTGCAACACATGCGATCGTTGCTTTTTGAGTCACGAGGACCTGCACCGTCATGCCGTCAAGCACCACAAAAAAGATCCTCGGGCGCCTATTCGCCCGTTTGAGTCTTCATCCTTCTCTTCAACGGAGGGTAAGGGGGCGGCGAAGACTGATGCGTCTTCTTCTTCCTTGTCGTCTTCGCCCGCAGCCGCGACACCACAGGCCCCACGCAAAGTGAAGAAGCGCAAAAAGACCGCTGTAGAAGAGGAGACAAGTTCGTAGTGGCAGCGTGCCGGAAGGAAAGAAGGAACAGGGGAGATGATGCGAACTAAGCATCTCTGGAGAGAAGAGACAGCAAACAGAAAAATGATAGCAGCACCTTTTAGAGGAGGAGGGGGGAAGGAAGAGTCGCTGGGGAGCTTTTGTTTTTCTATTATTATTATTATTATCATCATTATTTTGTCTAACGGATACAATTTTATCTGCGGCGTCTTCACAAATATTTTAAACACGTTGGTGTCCGCATTTTTTTTCTTCTCCGCGTTTGCGCGCCGGCAGCAGCGGTGGTGGTGAAAACCACCACCACAACTAATACTCGTGCGATGCGTTCGTCTGATATTTAACCAATTATTATTATTATTTTTTTAAATTTTGGCTTCCCACCACACCCTTTTTTTTTTTTGCTTGGTTCGGCGCCATTGCTGCAGGCAGGCGCAAGGAAATAATTCAGGCGGCTGTGTGCGTGGCGATTGAGAGATTGAGTATACATACAAAGAAAAAAAGGATATTTATATATTTATATACGTGTGATGGGTGAGTGGGGCGATTGCGGGGAGGAGGCGGCACACCTCTGCGCCGTGCAACAGCTCCTCCAGGCCTTTTTGGAGACGCCCTCTCGCGTGGTTCTTCTCAGTGCCGCACTTGGGGAAATGTTGGGTGTGGTCGTTCGCCAACAAAAGGCCATAAATAAAATTGTCGCTTCGCTGCAAATAGCAGGGGAGGAACGCATGCAAGAACTCACAGCACTATCACAGAGCTTTGCAGATATTTTGCAGGACACTATTAAACGCACTGCATTGGCCATTAGCGAATTACGAGGGCAAATTCCCAAACAACAGTGCATGTCTGGCGCTGGTCTTTTTTATGAGGAGAAATGCGTTGAGTTAAAGCGCGAGATTGGAGATCTGCGGCGATTGGTAATAGAACGTCTACAGCACGATTCTATGGGAGCAGACATGAATGGACAGAGCAGTGCGATTCAGTCGGAACTTGTGGTTACGGGGGAAAAAGTGCGGAACCTTGGGGCTCAGCAGAGTCTTTTACTGGAACTCCTTGACCTGCGCAAAATGCTGCTTCATCATGGGTACACAGGCGATGCATCGGTGGACCTGCGTCAACTCCGCTTGCTTGACACCACAGCGAAGGTAAAACTGATGCATCAACTGCCATGCTTTCATGTGTTAGTACGTGCGCTCGTGTCGACTGAGCGCCATTTGCTGGCGGGCGCTTCTTCCATGAGCTCAATAGATTGAATAGATGCTACTTGTCCTTGTCTGTGTGTGAAATGAAATACATGTAAATATGAAATAATGTGTTCCTGGGTTTGGCTGCTCTATTCTTTGTTTGTTGTTGGTGATGGCCATCTCGTTTATTTCTTTTCTTCTTACTGAAAAGAGTTAAGTGGAAGAGAAGGAAGATATAGGGCATCAGGGATAACCATAACTCGGGATTCACTTTTGTTTTTCAATTTTTTTTTCTTTCTTTTGTTGTTGTTTCTTCATTTTACCACCGGTGGCTTGGAGGGCGCACAACGGTGAGTTCGCGTGGTTGAGTCGACAGGAGGAGTAGCGGTGCGCGGAGGCCCTTTCGCGAAGGTGCACGTTACCCGGCTCTCAGGGAGAGGGGTGGAGGGTGGGGTGGGAGGGACCGGATCTGATTTTTTTTTTTCTTCTTCCGTCCGTCCGTTGTTTTGTCACTCCGCGGGCGGTACTTTGCGGTCTGACTGCTTGACGCGTCATGAACGTGCACTGGAAGCCTCGCGGCGGCGCACAGGCGTCGGTTGGAATCATCAACGCCGTCGAGTTTGATCCGGACGTGGAGCTGCTTTGGGTCAGCGACAGCTTTGGCCGGCTGATGAGCTTCACGACGCAGAGCCAGACGAATACGCTCACCTGGACTACGTACTCATCCTTCTTGGCGTCAACACGGCCGATCTCCGGCATTTTTTTTCTTCCGCTGGGCGGAGAAAAAATTGTAACTGTGGCGGATCACAACGTCATTCGCGGGTACAAACGGGGCGGTGCTCTTTTCATGTGCCGCTCGTTGCCTCCGCAGTCACAGGACTACATTGAGCTTTTCCAGGCGCATGGAGAAACGGGGGTTGTCAGCTTCACCGGTAACGCCGGGCTAACGCGCTTCTCGATTGGTAACGAGGGCAATGACGGCGTTGTCACGGTGCCGCTGGGCGAATCAAAGGTGGTCGCGTTGCATCAGACGGAGAAGTGGGTTGTCACGGGCAGCATCTCTGGCAGCATCGTTGTTCGTGACAGCAGCGACCTTCAGTTAGTGGGTGCAGTGCCCTCTTCGCGACGCCGCGTGTTGGCTATGGATGCGTACGACAACACCGTCGTGGCCGCCATGGTGGAGCGTTCCATGACAAGCAGTGTGCGCGTGTATGATCTACGTAAGTTGTCTGAGCCGGTCATAACAATTGGTGGAATTCCTTCTGACAGCGTCTCGCAGTTGCGTCGTTACCGCGATTCATTTGGCATCTCCGCGGACCGAGCGTTTGTTCTGACGCCGTGCGGCTTTCACATTCTGCAGATGGACCAGACATCCCCAGTTTTTAATTCCAACGGAATGGTGGGGGACTTCTGTACATCTGTTAGCATCTCGCCAAATGGCATGTGTGCTGCCATTGGGAACGACAAGGGCTATTTCATTGCGCTTGCTCATCCGGCCACGCGTGAGGATTATGTCATGTCCCGCTTTGAGCAGCCACGACGACCAGTGAACCCCGTCTTCACGCAGAGCTGGGCTGAGAAGAAGGAGGGCGACACATTTGCGTTCTTTGATGAGTCCGTTCCACCTGCAGAGCTCGCCTCCAACTGGCCACCCGACAATTATATGATTCTTTCCGTCCCTGCACCCACACGCTGCCTTAGCGTGGAGTCCCGCACTATTTTGCAGAATCGCTGGGGATTTCTTCGCGCCGATTCATACCTGCCCGACCCAAAGGACAAAATGGCACTGAATTTACCAGACCCTTTTCCGTTCAACCTGGAGCTTGGCGACGACCCGGCGGCAGTGCAAGGGCTACTGCAGGAAATGAAAAAGAACCAAAAACGACGCTACTTTGAATTTCGCGATGTTGCTGCCGGGGAATACGCACCGCTTGAACCGGCGAGTCATGTGTGTTATAGTTCACATCACCGTTTTGACTGGGAAAACTACAATGCAATTCCGCAAGAAGTCGTTGGCTTGGACAACAGCTTCCCCGAGTGTTGGATTACGACGCTGTTGCAATCGCTTTACCTCTGCCATTTGCCGGAGTGCCCCGTGCGCAAAGTCCTTTTGCACCACCTATGCACCAGGGAGTACTGCGTCGCGTGTGAAACATCATTTATATTTGCGAATATGATGATGACCTCCGCGTCAGGGCTTAATCCCATTGTGCAGGTTGCCAATCTGATCCGCACTATGTATAAGGTGCCTGCAACGGCCTCCCTTTTTGAACCCGTTAAATCTCGTGATGAGGCGATAAAGCGGATGCACACGGCACAGTTGACTCTTCTTGAGGCGCTGCATCGAGGACTGCAGGATGAGAAGGCATACCCCTTCATGGACCACAAACCTCCATGCAATGACTTTGAGCATTCCATTGCGTATCTCTTTGGCACGGAGTTCTCTTCTGGTGGAAGAGTCCACTTGGAGCCGCAGTTCTACTGGGATGTTCCTTCCTCCGCACTCAAAGTGAATGAGGGGCTGCAGCATTTACTCAAGCAGATTGAGTCATACAGAGATCAGGTTCAGATCAAACGTTTACCGCCTATTATTGTATTACGACTGAACCCAGAGGGGGGGACGCTAAAGCCGCCGAGGTGTTTGCATATATCCCGCGAAGCGCAGGAGGATTCCAACTACGTCCTGTGCAGTAACATCATTCACCTCTCGGATGACGCCGATGACCCTGGGAGTTTTGTGAGTCACCAGCGTATTCTGGATGATCGCTTTAGTTTGGTGAACGATTATCGTGTGACGGCACCAATGGAGGAGGAGGAACTGGAAGAATCGATGCCTGCATTCCACTCCCATCGTGCCGTGGTAGCATATTATGCCCTCGATAAACTGACAGCGCCGCCCTACAGTTTACACGATGGTAACCGTCCGCCAAACATGTTTGAGGTGCTTGGGCCGCTGCTTGTTAATGATGTTCTTGCGAAGCCCCTGCAGCGCGACCCATCAGCGCAACGGTTTAAGTCTCCATTGGCATCGTTCTACGAGATCAAACCCAACGATTTGATCGCAATTGATGCGGAGTACGTGGTTCTGAGCTGGAACAGTCGGTGCATCGATGCGGGAATGGAAGTCAAATTGTCGCATAAGACGCACATGGCTCTGGCACGTTTGAGTTGCGTGCTCAGCAGTGCCCCAGGGGATGAAAGAACGATTGTCGATGATTATGTGCACACACCGGAAGTTATTGAGGACTACGTGACGCAGTACAGTGGTATTCATCCCGGGGATCTGGACCCGCTTAAATCTACAAAGTGCTTGACGAGCCGCAAAGCAACGTACTTGAAGCTGCGTGCCTTGGTGGATCGTGGTGTGATATTTGTGGGTCACGGTTTGTACCAGGACTTTCGTGTGTGCAACATTGCGGTCCCTCCAGAACAAATCATTGATACTCTCATGATGTTTCACAAGCCTGGCGGCCGGTATCTTTCGCTCCGCTTTCTTGCCTACCATGTTCTGGGGGAGCGTGTGCAAGAAGACGAGCACGACTCTGTTGAGGATGCGCGCACCTCATTGCGCCTGTACCGCAAGTACCAGCAGCTGGTGAGTGAAGGGACATTTGACGCCGTCCTGGACAAACTGCTGGCAACCGGAGCGGAGACAAGTTGGTACGTTCCAGAGGGCCGTGATGCCTTTGGCGCGTCTCCTGCTCTCTTTGCTAGCATACCGGGCTCGCTACTATTTCCAGAGTCTCCCTCAACGCTGGTACCGGCAGAGGCCGCTAAGGACGATGAATTCCCCTCCGCATCGTAAAGATAAATTCAAAATTGCGCTTTCTCCACCAACCACTCCCTATAATTGTTCGTTTTTTGCTCCCCGCCTTCTTCTTTCCTCGCATTTTTTCTTTCTTTCTTTGTTTGACTCCAATAAGTGAGTGGAGGGAAAGGATGAGGAGGAGAGGAGGAAATGATTGGTGGTATTGATGGCGCTGGAATAGAAGGAGGATAAGAGGGGTGCTTCGCCTCTCTTCTTTCTACATGTTTGTCTCTTTCAGTCTCTGATTTTTGGGTCCGCCGCACCCGCTTTTTGTCGATACCACAAACACAGAAAGAAAAAAACAAAAACAACAACAAAAACGATGCACACACGCAAAGACACTCAGTCTCCAAACGTGCCGCTGTTCTTTTTTTTTTTTTCCTTAATTCTTTTTCCCGCTGTTTTTTTTTTTTTTGCGTTATTTTCCTCAAACCACGCGTTTTTTATTTTTATTTTTGTTGGTGGCACTTGTTTGCTCAAGAGAGCGAGATTCTTATAGAGGGATTGAGAGAGGTGGGGGGCAAAACGAAGGCATGAGCGCAGGGATCCTGGGAAAGACACACGCGGGGGTTCCGTCGTACCGAAGCGGGTATGTGTCCCCCTCTGGCATCAAAATACAGTACAGCAACGACTGGGTGAAGCACCATCCGCTTGAGGGCGATGGGCTGCGAACGCTACTTTACCTGCACCTGTGGAAAAAGAATAAGGGCAGTGAGAGCCGGCTGAAAGACATACGCCTTCCCGATACCGTTGTGTACGAGCACAACTTCCCCCGCGCCTGGTACACCTACGATGGGGAGGCGAAGGAAATCAACAAGCACCCGGGCAAGATGCTGGATGCCCAGTCCATCTACGAGCATTTCAGCCGTTCGACGCCGGACTGCGATGTGGTCGCGCAGTTCCTCACCACCTGTGCCCAGGACAACCCCGCCATCTCGTCGGAGGGCGGGCTGCTCACGTACGTGAAGTTTTTTACCGCAGAATCCCTCCGAGAATTTCTTTTTAGCCCCGAACGCAAGCCAGACGGAATTCTTCAGAAGTTTGTGGTGCCCAAAGGGGAGACGACAATGCGGAAAAACTCGCAGCTCCAAGTTATGTGGTCACCACTTGTGACGGTGGTGTACAAGCGGACGAATAAGCAGCGGCTGGGTGACTTGCATCTTCCTGTCCACCTGCGCTCGGCCACGTTTGATGGGGATAGCCACCTGAGTGAGTTGTCTCTTATTGCGGACGAGTCCAAGGCGAGGCTGGAGTCTCTTTGCCGCGAGGTGGTTGACCACTTTTACTTCACGGATCTTAAACTAATTACCCGCATGGTGCTGAACTTTAAAATAGATGATGCCAATCGACCGTGGCTGCTCTGGTGCAGCTCTCTTCGTGTTTCGGGTGATAGACTGAACCCTCGGAACGTGCGGGTTCCAGTGGCACTTTCTATGCCAATTGAGGTGTTAAACGACGGCTCATCCACGCGGGACCGCATTATTAAGAGTAGAGATCGACAACAACAACTCTTGTTGTTGGACAAGCAACTCTTTGAACTCTCACGAGACTATGATTTTGGCCATAATTGCAACGATTCACATGTACGGGAGGCAAAGCGTCTGGGCCTTCAGCCTCTGAGTGAGAAGTCGAGTCCGAATGGTCAAGGAAAAAGTTTTTCGCGACGGAATCCACCGCATCCCTTGCACGATGCAATGCGATACCTTCGAGTATTATCGACGGAGCCTCAGGGTGTGGATTTATCCAATTGCAGTCTGTCTTCAGCAGCGCAACAACAGGATCAGCAGCGGCGCTCCCGTAATGACTCTGTGCGTCAGAGCCAGGCAACAATTGATGATGCTGAGGATCGAGTTAAAAGTGAACTTACTGCCATGGCCCTTGATGCGTGGTACACTGTATATTCTTCAGCGCTGTCGAAAAATCCAACCTACATGCCGACGAAGGACGTGTTTTTGGCGGAGCCACTCGTGGTGTCGCTACAGCCGCCTGAGCTTGAAAGACTTGTAGTTATTCTCGGCCTTGAACGGAACCCAGTTTCTGAAGATCCACGCAGTTTCATGGTAAATTCGGGTCTTATTGGACCTGGGCGACGCTTGGATCGTCCTTTTATAAACGCGGAGCGTGATGTAAGAGAATTTTTTGATGAACTTTTTGCTTCCAGGGGCGGAGAGATTACACAGCAGTGCCTGGCAAATGATCGTTGGATTTGGTGAGCAACACTGCCAAACACGACGTCAAGTGCAGCTCATCTTCTCTTGGTCACCGCTTTTTCACCGGCTATAGAAGTCTAAGGATAGTTTGCTTGAGAGTGGGAGCAAAGAGGGAAAGGGATATGCGTCTGCCTGCTTGTCTTCATGTAAGTATGTGCACGTGTGACGTCTTGAAATAGAGTTCATCTGTTGTTTGGGGCTGCGTTGGGGTTTTTTCTTTTTTCTTTCTTTCTTGCATCCACCCTTTTTTTTTCCTCTTTTTTGCTTCACGTATTGAATGCGTTGCTCCCGCATAGTGGTTGGGGCACCATTCGCTACTGTGCGCGCTTTTTTTAATTTTTTGTTTATTTATGCTAAGCGGCCCTGTGGAACTGCCGGGGAATATCATCCGTGGGAGCACCACCTTCTGCTTAACGCGTGTGGGCGATCGGGCGTATTACGTTCCGCGTGGGTGTACGCTGGAGGACAAGCTGCACTGCTGGCGTGTAAAGGCCGACCATGAGACGGGGCGCATCTTCTTTGTGAACTGTGGAGGTCTGGGGCCGAGATGGACGCTGCCCGACACGCTTGCGAGTATCGATTTATTGAACACTGCGGGGCCGGATGGCAGCCGCCATCGCCGTTCCTCTTTGCCTGGGTCATCACCAACTGCGAAGCATGCCGCTGCTGACGCTGTGGCGGCGGAAGCGAGGTCCCTGGTAGAATTGAGCAGCGGAAGAAAAAAAGGCAATAGCAGCGACACAAAATCTTTTTGGGATTTGTCGCTGCCTGGAAAATCATTTCTTTGCTCGGGCAAACAACCCCTTCGTGTTCACTCCAATGGGAAGAGAGTTGCTGACATTTACGTTAACGACATCGCATATCTGCGGTCATTTGACGAGGAAGGAAAATCACCAGCATCCTTTGAGACTGCACTGCACGGCGAATTTGAGAACGCCAGAACGCCCCTCGAAGGCAGATGTGCCGAAACATCCTTGCTCGAGGCACAATTACGGAGGAGAATTGAGGACTATGCCGAGGAGGTCACCACACTTCGTCGAAGGCTGGAAGACCAGGAGCGCCTCTTCATGGAAAAGGAACTGGCGCTGGTGGAACTGGAGGAGCGAATAGTGAGCATGAGGCTACACATGGTGGAGGCTGTGAGCGCGTATCGCCAGAACACATACTCGTGGCAGTCATAATGAGGGTGTGATACCCTCCTGGAAAAGGAGGGGAAGCATTGCATTTGTGTGCATTTACTTATTTCTTTATGTGTATGTGTGTGCACATCTCAATTATGTATTCTCCCTCTTTGTTTACATGAGCTTCTTTCTCATTTCTTTTTTAATTTGTCCACTTGTTGGTGAGGTTTTTTCTTTTTTTTTTTTTTGGCGTTTACCTCACGCACAAACACGAAATAACTTCAGGCAGACAATCTGTTTAGATGCCGATGTCTAGTGGCACCACGGGCTACCACCCGGTCTTTGCCCCCCGCTTTGCGGGGGAGTTTGAGGAGCCATTGGTGCGGGTACAGGGGTACACAGAGCCAAGGCTCACTTTTGTTCAGCACGCCGCCGTCGTTTTGGGAGTTTCCGCCACCACCGCGTTTCTGAGGCATCCCATCGTCAAATTTGACTCCTTCTATTTTTTAAGTGATGTGCCGGGGGAGTCCAACCGCATCTATGCGTCGGACAAGCGCGCACAGTTATTTCGCACACTATTTAGCGTGCGCTGGTTTTCCGGGCCGTCAGTATTGTGGAGCATGTCCGAGTACGTCTTTCTTCTTGCCGTCTTCACCTGGCTGCGCGAGGTGCTGTCGTGGGGCAGTAACACTCCGAGGGGGTTTGCCGCCGGTAGTCTTACCGGAGTGGCGTATGCAGCGGTGCGGCACCCGTACGACGTATTACGTGCAACGTCAGAGGCCACTGGGGGGCCCAAGAAATTTAGAGGCGTGGGAGATGTTTTTAGGACGGCATTACGAGAGAAGCCCTCTGCACTTCTTGGACTTTACCGTGGCTTTGCTTCTGCGGCGTGTGGTAGGCTGTTGCAGTTTGGCGCTCAGTTTGGTGTGTACAACGCAACACGGTACGACGGTGTATATCGCCAGACATGTGTTTTATTTTTTTACTGCCATCTGGGTGCAATTCTGGGGCTCTTTTTGCAGTATCCCCTTCTATCCGTCAAGTATCAGCTGCACATGCGCAACCAGTTCACGAAGGGCAGGCCCCACACATATCGATCATACATTTTGGAGGTGCGGGCACGGCACGGCATTAGCAAAATTTATGATGGTTTCTTCACCAGTCGCCCCATTCTCAACGCCGTTCCAGCGGCTTTGTTGATGACGCTTTACGATGTGTGCGCACGTAGGTACACGGAATTCCTGCACCCGGAGCTGCAGAAGGTACATGGGGAGGTGGATCAGCCGATTTTCGGCGTCCGCAGCGCCCCATACGTGAGTTCACTTCCAAAGTACGAGTTTGCGCGAAAAGATGATTTATGATTGTGTGGCGTGGCGAAGGGCAATAGCAGCGGTAGAGCGGCCATTGAAGCGCTGCAATTCCTCCTCCCCTCTACGGAAAAGGGCACAAATGCCATTCCCGCTGCTGTGTTGTATTTGACCCCTCTTGTCACTGAATAATACATATGTACATTGTCTCTGTCTCTGTCTCTCTTTCCTTCTTTCTTTTTTTCTTCTCCTTTTATTTGGGAGGTGAGGTTGCGTGCGGATTGTCTGCTTCCGTCGTGGGCATTTTTGCCCTTGTGACGAAATGGATTTCTTAAAGCGAACATTTGCCGATACAAGGCTGCGGTATCATGTATCAAAGGTACTTTTTGCGGCTAGCACTTCTTCCGCAAAGCTATCGACGGAGTGTCTTTTGTTAGCGGAGCAGCACCCCACTCTAGTATTAGCCGTCCTACGCGAGAACCTTCAGCCGGGTTCTCACCAGTCATACGCGTACTTGCTGCTACTTGAGAAAATAGTGGATGCCTGCAGTTTCTCCTTTCACGCAGCGATGGCGCTTGACTGCACTCTTCATGACAAACTAGTGAAACTTGCCACCACAAGAGCGGAGGGCGAAGAGAATCGAAAAGTCCGTCGTTTGGCGCGTCTGACATTGTTGGAGTACTCACGGATGTTTGTGGACGTTCCCGAATTGAAGAGCCTGTCGAGACTTGCAGGTTGTGTGGAAAAAATTACTGGCAAGAATCTGATGCGGTCCATTGAGGTGGAGAGTAAGAAGGTCACTTTCGTTGACCCGCGGCCAGAAGACATTATTTTGATTAGTCCCACTGAGGTGTCTGCTAAGGCCTCGCTCCCGCCATCGCGAAAGTCGGCGGTGTGGTCCTGCCATGTGTGTACATACATAAACAGGCCACACGCCACGGTGTGTGTTGTGTGCAGGACGCCGAATGCAACGCGTCCCACCTCTCCACCGGTCCACAAGGCAAGTAATGGGAAAACTGTGCCCGCGGCCGAAATTCTTAACGGGACCGTATGTCATGAGGAAAGAAGCGGTGTTGAAAAGACTGCGACGTCACCGGACAGGAATGGCTTCTTTGCACCGGCTCCAATTCAAAAGGGCGAGGGGAGTGGGACTACAGGCAATACCTTGGTAGGAATTGTCGCTCCCCATCCCAGAGCATGAGGCATGATTCATCGTGCAAGGGCACCATTTTCTTTTTTATTCACTTTTATGGAATCCCTTTCCATTTTCCCACAGCGTTTTCTTATATACATACATGGATATATATATATATATAATGTGTATTTGATAGTTGATGGTGATTATTTCGCGCTGCATTTCGATTGCTTTTGTTTCTGCAGCGAGTGCGAATTTGGCGTTTGCACGTTTTATTTCTTCCTTGCTTGGATTTAAACCCCGGTTGGCTGCGTGCATGCTTCGTGTTTTGGTTTTGCTGCGGAGTTCATTGGGGGCTGAGGAGGGAACGCGGGACGTGAGTGCGGCTTCGCCTTTTTTTTGGGGAGGGGGGGGGGGCGGAAGAGGTGACGAAACTGCGTATTTTTTCCTATTCTTGTCGCCGCTCATGTAGCCAAAATAAAATCCGTGAAGCAAAGGGAAAACGGGGAAAAAAAAGTTATTTAAAAGAAAAACAAAAAAAGAATTAATACTGGAGGAAAATAAAGTGGGAAATCACCGACGGGAGGGGGGTGGAGAAGAAAAGAAGTGGGGTGGGAGTGAAGGCACGTCGTACTGAACGATGAAATTCACTGCGCGGGAGGCAATCGCATATCTGCAGCGGTTTGTGGAGGGGGAGAGCGACCAGAGATTTTACGTGGCTTCAGAGCCCAGCCCGGCCGCCAATGCGCGGGCCCTCTCTTTCATGGAGTCCTGCTGGAACTCGGCGGTGCAAAAAACAAGAGAGGCCACTTCGACAACGTCAGACAGAGCTCCTTCAGCCAGCAAGCATGCAAATAACAAGAGCGGCGGTGCGGTTGGATCCGCACCCGTGGAGCGCCCTCAATCTTCTTTAGACAATTTACGAGAAAGAGCTTCAGTTGTGTTTCACGACATTCCACCAGTTGCGGCTCAAACAACGAGTTTAAAGAGCCCAGACGATGCTGGCGGGTTTTTCTCTACAGCGGTTGTGCCTGCAGAACAGGGCACGAGCGGAAGAATTGGCCGCAACGGTATCGCATGGGTCGTTTTGTGAGTGGCTCCAACATGCCTTTGCCCTGTCTTTTGCACTCCTTCTATTTTGTAGCTTGCTTCTATATACATGTGCTTTCTTTTTTATTTGTGTTCCTTTTAACGTCATCCAAATAATACTTGAGGCCTTTTGCTGAAGGGACTCGTGTGTCGCATTATCTCTTTTATTTTATTTTTCTTTTGCCTCATCTATTACATTCTTTTGAGCTTATTATTATTTTTCTTTTTTTTTCGTTTGGATTTGTTGGAACTCGCGTAAGCGTTGCTCAGGATGCCGAAGGAGACACGCACGGTTCCAATGGGTGTCATCACCGCGGAGCCGATACACGCGACCTCAAAGAAGTTGAAGTTTGCCACGCGGGTTTCTACGTTGGGGAAACCGGCGGCCCGCAAGGCGTCGAAAAAGAGTGCGATGGTGGGACTCAAGACGGGCGGCAGTCAGAGTGGCATGGTGTTCAACAAGGGCTTCGGGCAGCACATTCTGAAGAATCCGCTTGTTATTGCTGCTATTGTCGAGAAGGCGGCGATTAAGCCCACCGATGTGGTGCTGGAGATCGGCCCGGGCACGGGGAATCTCACCGAGAAGTTGCTGCAGGCGTCTAAGAAGGTGATCGCGTTCGAGGTGGATTCGCGTATGGTGGCAGAGCTCAACAAACGCTTTCAAAACACCCCCTTGGCGTCGAAGTTGCAGGTGATTCGGGGAAACTGTCTCGACCACGAGTTTCCCTACTTTGACAAGTGCGTGGCAAATGTGCCGTATGCCATTTCCTCCGCCCTTGTCTTCAAGCTGCTGAGGAAACCGACGTTTAAGTGTGCCGTGCTGATGTTTCAGCGGGAGTTTGCCCTTCGTGTGTGTGCACAGCCTGGCGCTGAGGCGTACTGCCGTCTCTCCGTCAACTCCCAGCTGTTGGCCCGCTGCAGCCACCTGATGAAGATCAGCAAGAATAGCTTTAACCCCCCGCCTAAGGTGGAGTCCAGCGTGATTCGTCTCGACCCAAAACACCCCGCGCCGGACGTGGATTTTGAGGAGTGGGATGGACTCGTCAAGTTTATTTTCAATAGGAAGAACAAGAAGGTGTCGTCCATCTTCCGCACCAAAAATGCCGTTCAAACCCTTTACGAGAAGTACTGCAGTTACCAGAAGATGGAGGGAAAAACAAGTGTCAAGAGCCTTGCTGAATTCAAGGAGCATTTAGAGACCGTGATGCAGGATCCTGTGTTTGAGAGCCGAGCGCGGCTTCTGGACCAGGATAGCATTACAAAACTCCTTTGCCACTTTACGGAAAATGGCATTCACTTTGTTTAGAGAAGGAAAAAGAAGGAACGGAGGAAAAATCGATGTTCCCATTGGAGTAGCTTTTAATCATTTTCGTTCAAACACCTGATGGGGGGTGCTCCCTACTAACGTTCAACGTGGGAAGGGAACCGAAAGGAGGTTGTAAAGAACACACACACACACACACATATATATATATATAGACATTGTGACATGTGTGTTGGGGAAAAAAAAAAGAAATATAAACACGTGTAATACCTGTGTTTTGGGCTTTAGTTGATGCGGAGAAGTATCCTTCTGAAAGGGAGTTGGCTACTGCTGATATTGTAAGTAATTTGGAAAATATCATGAAACCAAATTTCTTCTCACTCCGTTACATTTTGTGTTTCTGTCTGTGTTTCTCCAAAAGTGAGAATGCTTGCTTTTTTTTTCTTCTTCTTCCTTTTCTATCTTTTTGGAGTGTGGGTGTGGTGGTGGGAGAAGTGAAGCGGCATATATATCCAGGTGTAGATATATCTATCTATCTATATATATTTTGTATGCTGCGTCGTGGGTGGGTTGCTCCTGTTGTGGGGCAACGCTTTTCTCCGTTGCGGCTGCAGAATCGCAGGTTTGGGGATAAAATTGTGGTGGGGTCGTGCGCCGCACTTTCCACAAGTGTGACTATTCTTGGCATCTTTCACCTCATTGTGACGCCCGTGAGTCCGGCGATTGCCGCTGCGACTCTTTCAGCGGCAGCGGTGAGCGGGGCACTTGTTGTCTTTGAGGGCGGAAAGAACGAGGGTGGCACGACCTTTGGTGCCGTCATTGGCGTATTTTTCGGTGCGATGGGAGGCTACTACGCCAAGTCCTCCAAGGAACCGTGGCGGAAGTGATACAGCTGGCGAGTTCTTTTTTTTTTCTTTTTTTTCTGCGTGTGTGTAATTCCCTGCAGCGAAGAAGGATGGATAGGGGAGAACTATAAGAGCGTTTCATTAAGAGGGAGAAAGCCCCGCTAGTACTTAACTGCGCCGTTGCCGGTGCCTACTCCTGTGTGTTCTTCTATTTATTTATGGATTGCCATTGCTCAAAAACATAAGAATGCACACATGTGGCGGTACCTCGATGCATTTAAATGTGCTTTTGCGTTTGTCTCTCGTCCTACTTTTTTTTTCTTTGATTTACCTTTGCTCCGCTGGGTTTATTTTATCAAACTCAATTGTTTCTTTTCAGTCACAATACACACGCTTATCACCACTGCTGCCATACTGCAGTGTGGAGAAATGCTGCGGCTTAGTTGCCTGCGCAAGACGGCGCTGCCGACAATAATCAATAAAGTTTGTCGCACTCCGGCGTATCTGCGACACGCACCGCCCGGCGTGTACGTTACTTGTGACTTTGAGAAAAGTGCGCGACACACGACGCTTCTCGTGGACGCATCGGTTGAAGGAGAACCCCCTATGACGAATGGCGCCTACTTACTTTCCTCTACAGGGGGCGATGACCTTGCATTTCAGCAGGCACATAGCGTGCTTGTTGGCTTACCTTTTGCACAGGATGCATCGCAGGCGTCACGCTTCCTGGACACTGTGCTGCGTCCAGCGCTAGCACGCAATGGCATGTCGATTCCGTTTGATGGCATACATACAATAATCCTACTGGAGCTGCACCCCTTTGCCGCGCACGCCGTACAGGAGATAGTCTCTCGCTTGCCGCAGGTAAAGGTGGCCTGCAGTCCATTGATGGCTGCATTTCTATCTGACGCTGATTTTTTTTCGGGCATGCGAAAGTCTTTGTGTGAGAACGACGCACATCTTCCTGCAAAGTCGATCACATTTGCTGGTGTGCCGCAGTCAAATCTTTCCCTGCTCGAGGATGGCTCCGCGGTCCCGGTCTTCGGCGAATGTCGCCATCTTCTCGTGGCGACAGGCGACCTTTCCGATGCGCGAGAGAGGTGGCGGCGGGAGCGAAGAAACAAGCTGAAGCATTTTGAATCGTACGCCCTCTTCCTGTACGATTCGTCCTTTTATGCGATGCTTGCCCCCCCTTCTGCCGGTGCGCACTTTGATTGGCTGCCTTTTGTCGTCCACGAGGCGGACGCCGCCGCGCTTCTGCCGTTGCCGGACTTCCTTTCTCTGCAGAAGTCGACCGGATCTTCCCTGTTGGAGGTCTGGAGACTCCGTGAGCACGCGCACCGGGTGATAACCGCGCTGGAGAAGTTCCCGGAGACGCAACGCGTGCTGACTGCATGCTACGGCGAGGTTTCTGGCGGCGCCGACGGTTACGTGGAGCGGCTGGAGCAAACAGTCCGGAAGTTGGAGGAGTTACGAAGTCGTCTCGGCCGCCGTTTGGCTACTGACACCGCGCGGGACGTGGCGAAGTGGAGTGTCGTCATGGAGGAAAAGATTTTGAAGGAAATTGTTTTCACCAAAAAGGCGGAGAAGAAGACGTCGGAGGAGGTGCTTTTGGAGTACAAGCAGTGGGCAAGCGCCTCGCACCTTGGACGACTCTCACGCTCACTCGCTCTAGCGGGCGCAACACTTCCCCCCGACATCCCATCGGAACCGGCCCAAGAGGCATCGCCATCGCCATCGCCATCGTCATCGTCGAGCAAAGACACAGAGGGGGCGGCCGGCGTGCAGCTGCTAAAAAGCCACTTTGAGAGGCGAGGGATGGCGTCGCTCACGCCCGTCCTGGAGCGGGAGGAGATTGATGTCGTGGTGTTTTTGGCAATGGGCCAAGATGACTTTAAGAAGGTGTTTAAGGCCACGTTTGGTGTGGCCAAGAAGATGGAGCTGCTTCAGCAGGAACTCCGGTCTTCACATTAATGCAAGACATTGGGAAAAGGAGGAATAAAACAAACACTCCGGATATAAGAATGATTTCTTTTTCCCCCCACGCACACACACACACACACACACACAAGGGAAATGCCGGTGTTTTTGTTTTTATTTTTTATTTTTTGTCCGGGGAAACAAATTGGCAAAGAAATCAACATAAGTGTTTCTTGTGCTTCTGTGTGTGTGTGTGTGTGTGAGGGGGAGGGGGGGATATTTCTGGTGTTTCACGTGCACTTCTGGAGAACCCCTTTCAATTTTCTTTATCTCGCACCAAAGGCAGGTAGTTTGATTTTGATGAAGCGCGCCAGGAGCCCCTCACCGCAGGCGTTAAGAAACAAGATCTTGCCGGCCTCTTTATTTGCTGAGTGGAAGCTGATTCATGGTTCCGTGTTGGCGTTGCCGCCGTCAGCCGACGTGGTGCGACGCTCACTGGTTGGCATTCCTGGAAAGAGTCTGCGCCTCAAAGTGGCCGCCTTTGACTTGGATGACACACTCATCGTGCCGCGGAGCGGGGCGGTCTTTCCTCGTGATGACCCCAGTGACTGGAAGTGGCTGCTGCCGGTGGTGCCGCAGTACTTACGACTGCTGTACGACGAGGGCTTCATGGTTGTCATCTTGAGCAATCAGTCCGGGATTGGGGAAAAGGGGTGGAATGTGAAGAAGGCAGAAAGCATCAAGCGGAAGATTGTTGCTATGAGCGAGGCTCTTCAGATGCCACTGACCGCCTTCCTTTCCACAAAGGAGGATGTCTGGCGGAAACCAAACGTGGGAATGTGGAGACTTCTTGAGGAACACGCGAGTGCCGTCGCGGCGGCAAAAATTGTTGTTGCCGGCGATCCTTCCGGGCACGTCTTTTACGTTGGGGACGCCGCTGGGCGGAAGACCGCCACGTTGGCAGGGCGGAAGAAGGACTTCAGTTGCTCCGATCGCAAGTTTGCCCTCAATATTGATGTCCCGTTTCTCACGCCCGAGCAGTTTTATCACTGCCCGAAGGCGGAGCTGTTTTGCAGTGATGGTCACAGTACCCAAAGGGGAGTGGAGAAATTTATCTCCAAGCGACTCTTGGCGGCGGCTGATGCACCGTGCGAGGTGGACTGGGACGGATTGGGTCCCGGTGAACTTCAAAGCCTGCAGTCATCGTACGATAACCTCACGATCAACTGCATTAACGCGGATGGGAAAAGATGTACGTTGCAGACAAGTTCACCGGCGGCTTTTCATCGGACGGCTCAGGAAATGGTGATATTTGTGGGATACCCTGGGTGCGGCAAAACAACGTTTTTTAACCGCTTTTTGAAGCCGGCCGGCTATGTACACATCAATCGGGATATCCTCAAGAAGAAGGAGAAGTGCCTGTCGGAGGCTGAAAAGTGGTGGAATTCCGGCAAAAGTATTGTTGTCGATAACACGAACCCGTCGCATAGTGACTGCATGCCTTTTATCACCATGGTGAGGCAATCTCGTCCTGGCATCACCCCATTACCGGTGCGTGTGTTTGTGTTTCAGGCATCGAAGGGGTTGTCGATGCATATGTCGAATGTGCGTGCCCGACTTGGTCTTTCACCGCGAATCAGCCGGATTGCTTACAACGTGTTTCAGTCAAAACATGAAGTCTGGTCGTCAACATCTGTGAAGACGGCGAATGTTGGGGAAGTGCTTGAGATTCCACCAGTGGCATGCTTTGAGGGCCTCCAAGAGGGCATAAGAAGGGAGTTTTTTTTGCTGTCGTGAGGGACACCCTGATTGCAAAATATTGGAGTTCCTTATTCCCTTTATTCTTCCCAAAGTAAACATGCACAGAAGCAAATTATTTATTTCTTGTGTTCTTTTTATCTTTTTGAATCTTCTTTTTTTTTTTTTTTTGGGCACGGTTGTGCTGATGCCATCCGTATTTTTATTTTTATTCTTAATTCCTTCATTGGAACTCGTTGAAGGAGCGAGAGGGGAAAAAGAAAGAAAGAAAGAAAAAAAACAGTGATCAAAGAAAGGATTAAACAACAATAACAGCAAAAAGGACACAAAACAAAACAAAAGACAAAACTAATAAGGAGGAGGGAAATGTCACTCAAGGTTGGTTACATTGGGCTCGGCCTTATGGGGAAATCGATGGCTGCCAACATTCTCAAGGCCGGATTCCCTCTGGTGGTGTTTAACCGCACCACCTCAAAAATGGAGGAGTTGGTGCAGCAGGGCGCACAGGCGGCCGTGTCTCCAGCGGACCTTGCGTCCAAGGTGGACATTGTCCTAACGAACGTCTCCGACTCCCAAGATGTGCTCGATGTGGTTTTTGGAAAGGAAGGCGTCTACTCGGGCATTTCCCCTGGAGCCATTTTTATTGACAACAGCACGATCAAGGCGTCAACCGCCAGGGAGATAGCGGAGCGCATGTGGAAAGACAAGAAGGTGCGTTGCCTTGACGCACCCGTTTCGGGTGGTGATATCGGTGCCAAGAACGGCACTCTTACCATCATGGTGGGTGGCGATGAAGAGGCAATGAAGAAGGCCTTGCCTGTGCTGCGTGCGATGGGCAAAACGATCACATACATTGGTGAGAGTGGAGCCGGTCAAGTGTGCAAGGCTGTCAACCAGATTATGGTGGCGGCGCAGATGGTGGCCATGGGCGAAATGCTCGTTTTGGCGAAGAAGTGCAATGTGGACGCCGAAAGAGTGATTGAGGCTGTGAAAGGCGGTGCCGCGCAGTGCTGGACACTTGATGTGAAGCCACAGCGCCTCTTTGCTGGCAATCGCGAGCCCGGCTTTAAGGCCGCCCTTCAGAACAAGGACCTCAGCATTGTGATGGACACCGCCAGGGAGTTTGGGGCTCTTTTACCGAGCACCGCCATCAACGCGCAGCTGTTTCAGTCGATGGTGCAGAATGGTGAGGGCGACAAAGACAACTCGGCGGTGGTCGGTGTGCTGGAATGCCTGGCAAACTGCCGCATCACGGAAACGAATAACGCAAACTAAAGACGATTTTTTTTTCCTTTTTCCTTTTTTTTTTACTTTGAATTGTTTACCCCCTTCTTATTTTCTTTCTTCTCTTTTTTTTTTTTTTTTTTCGTTTCCTGTTTTTTTTTTTTTTTTTTTGGTGGGCGAGTTTTCATTGGTGGGTTTGCATGTGCTCGAATGTTGTGGCACACGCGTTTTTGCTCCATTGAGGCGAGAGAATATTTTTGCTGACGGACCCGAAACGTCTCCGCGGTGCAAGTGCTGCTTCATCATGCATAATTTCTTCTTGTCCTTTTTTTGTTTTGAGTGTAAGTACACACATATAAATAAATAAAAACATGTATTTATATATGCACGCATTTGCACTTGCTGTAGTAAATTCGGCGAGGTGATAGGTGATATCCACGTTTATTTTTGACGAGGAGCCAATTTCTTGGTTGCGAGGACTTTTTCAAGAGGAGTCTTGCGATACGGCGCGGAAGGAATTGCGGCAAGCCGCCGGACTTTTTTTTTTCGAGGATTGCCACTTTGATGTGAGAAAATGCATCGGTGACTTGCCTGAGGGGTGCGTAGCGGCTGCTGCGCATCTCCAGTCATTGGCTCATGCAGTTGTCGTGCCGGCACAATTTTTGGTTTTGACGGATTTCTATTTTTTTATTTTATTTGGCGAGGAAGACAGAATGGGGCTTGAAATAATTTGGCCCGAGCCGGACAATTACGTGCCTTTGGAGGTGAAATGCAGTGAGGGTTTCTGGTGGAGGCACTTTGACACAAATTTGAGTCTTTCTCATTGCGGAATTGGGCTTGAAGTTTTCACTGGTTCGGGTGTGGGCGGCACCCCTTTTGACTTCCTCATTTCCATTTTTTTTTTTTTTTACTCTTCTTGCTGCCCTTCTACATTTTGAAGCCAAAGGGGGGGAGGAGTTAAAGAGTGTTGTTTTTGTTGTCGTGTTTTTTTGGCGTCGGTGGCGGCAAAGATGGACGCAGGGACGCGGGGTTGGTTTCAAGAGGCGCTCGATGCCAGCGAGTGCGCCTCCGTGAAACGTCTTTTTCTGGATAGACGGACACTTGAGCAGGACGAGGGCAGCGAGTTCCCGCGTCTCCTGTGGATTTGCCGCATCATTGCTGCGGACCACCGTGTACTGTGGGAGCACCTTTCTTCTTCATTTATGGAGGATTTTAAACAGCCCGTGGATCCCTGGAACGAGCAGTTGGCGGTGAAGCTGCTGCGATTGCGGATTGATGTCATGAGTGACGCCGTGGCCGCGTCTCGGTTGCGTGAGGAGCTTGACGAGCATCTGACCACCACACTGAAACCAGCCACTGCAACACCACATGTCGGCTCGCAAATTGTGGCGAAGGGAGCCGACATGTATTCTTATGTCGTGTGCCCCGCCACACCCGGCGTGGAGGGTTCACTGGTTTGCAACGCTCCACTACCGGCGTTTGGTGATCTTTTGCGCGTACCTCGCGAAAGAATGTTTTTTATCGATACAGTTGTGCAATACTGTGACTTGGGGCGAGTTGTCCATGCATCTGGCGAACTGTCGAGCATGATTTCTGGCGATGAACCACTTCTAGTTCTTTCGCTTATCTATGAACGGTATGTGGCGGAAACATCGCACTGGAATGAACTGCTGCTCTCGTGCCCCGGCGGGTACCCCAATGTCCCAAGTTTCTGGGATTGGGAAGATCTTGCAGAGCTGGAGGGCCTTGACGTGCTAGATGACGTGCTAGCTAAGAAGGCACAGTTGGCGCAGTTTCAGACAGAGACAATGGCGGTCTTGCCTTTCATCCACGAGGCTCTTGCGGGAGGCTGCAGGTTTGGAAAGGATGAATTTCTTGAATGCTTCTCTATTGAGGCGATGATGTGGGCCCGTGCAACGTTTGACTCTCGCGCCTTTAATTTAAATGTGGATGGACGCGTCGTAATTGCTTTGGTGCCCGTCGCAGACATGATTAACCATCACAACCGCAGTGATGTGTTGGTGCGAAAGGTGGAACCCAACGGGGGGGATTTTGTAATGCAGATAGGGGCAAGTTTGACCGCCCAGGATATTGGTCGGGAAATATGGATGAGTTATGGTCCGCTGCAGAACTGGGAGCTGTTGCAGTTTTACGGGTTCGTATTGGAGGGAAATGAACACGACAGATTGCCGTTTCCCTTTGATTTTCCGGAAGGTGTTGTTGGTGATGAGTGGGACGGACGGCGGGCCGCACTAGTGGCGACGTATGGCCTGCACCTTGCGGGTCGCTGCTGGATATGTCATGACGGCCGCCCACCGCCTGCACTTGTGGCCCTTTTGCGCGTGCATTTGGCGGAGGCGGAGGAATTTGACACGATGGAGCGCAAAGGTCCATTTGCGAGTTTGGGCGCCGGGACGGAGGCGCGGGTTGTTGCCACGATAGCCGATACCATCCGGTGCATTCTCGACCTCTTCAGCACCTCGTTGGAGGAGGATGAACGGCTGCTGGAGAACGGCAGCGGCCCCGTGGCGACACATTCCGGGGACGACGGCAACACCCAGCCGCTTTCGTGCAACAAGCGGTTGGCCATTCTTCTTCGCATGGGAATGAAGCGTATTGCCCATCGCTCGCTGGAGTGGTGCAGCGCCGCCGCAACCGCCATTGTTGCGCGGACGGAGGCTGCAGCCGGGAGTGCCCTCAACGAGTAAAAAAAAAATAACAGCAAACAAAAGGCATGAATAAATCCACAACAAACAAACAGGGTCTGCGCTCCAATGGATTTTGCGGCTTTACCGCCTTTCTTTTTTGTGCTTGTGCTTGCCGTTTGTGATTACAATTTCTCTCCTTCTTTTTGTAATTGTCTCAGGACCAACCGGAAGGAAACGAAGGAGGATAAAATCTGTACCCAGTTTAACGTGTAGAAATGATGGACGTAAACCTCTCATACGGCGATCTTGGAACCCAACCGCTTGCGTCGGTAGTGAAAAATCCTGCGCTCGTTCGCTCGCTCAACTTGTCTGGTAACAACATTGACAAGGAGCTGAGCATTGAGATAGCTAACACGTACATTAGCTGCATGGTGAACTTGGAGGAGCTCGATCTCAAAGACAATAAAATAGGCCCCCAAGGCGCAAAGCATCTTTGCGACACCCTCTTGAAGCACTGTCCCGAGTTGAAGTATCTCGACCTCAATGAAAATGGCATTCTTGACGAGTCACTTCTGTATGTGGCTTATTTACTACAAGAGAAACGCATGGAATCGCTTTTCTTGGTATCGAACCACCTGACCCAACGGGGCATGCCTACTCTTTGCGACGGCATTCTTTCGAGCCGACATATTCGAGAACTGACATTAGCATTCAATGTTCTTGGTGACGGAGGCGCCTCCGTGGTCGCCAAAGCCTTGAGGGGGCACCCTTCACTGCGCTCACTAGATATCAGCGATAACCGCATTGGTGATGCGGGGGCGGTAGACGTGGCTGCGCATCTTATTCTGCCACGCGAATCGCGTCTGGAGTCGTTGAACCTCTCCGTCAATTGTATCCGTGACGTGGGCTTTTCTGCCATTTCTGAGGCGGTGAGAAACACGCAGAGCAGGCGGTTGATTCACTTGGACCTTGGAGGCAACCACGAGGTTGGATCCGATGGGCGAGGCGCGTTGATTAAATGCGTGGAATCGATGAGACACCTTCAGTCTCTGGACCTGTGCTCCTGTGGGCTTTCCGACGAAGAGGGGTGGGGACTTGTGGGAGCCGTTTCCTCACGCAACTGCGGAATTACGGCAATTGAATGGTTCAACAATCCGAAAATGCGGCCCGAGACCGAGAAGGCGCTTTACGAGGCACTGAAAGCAAAGAGGGCTGCTGCGCGGGATGCAGAACAACATTGGCGTCAGTTGAAGATTCTTTCGAGCGTTTTGTTGGGTGCCACTTTGCTGACGGGCCTCACCGTTGCGTTTCATCAGAGACGCCATCGATAAGACTCCTCCAAGACTCGTGCCGTGTTTGGGAATTTCACGATAGTTTTTCTTTTCTTTTCTTTTTTTTTCTTTATTTTTAATTTTTTTTTTTTTTGGTGTCCCACAAGCAAACACACACACACATACACACACGTAAAATATAAATGTACATAAATAAATATGTTGTTGAATTATTTGTCGGACGAGAGGCGGGCGGGGATTTGTAGAAAACAACAACAACAACAACATGTATTTGTCAATATCTCTCTTTGGGCATTTCTCTTATTCGTTTCCTTTTTTTTATTTTTGCAGGCTTTGGAAGCGTCTTGATTCCTTCTTTGCCACCCAGCCCCACAGTAACCCTTGCAGCGTCACACCACCATTATTGTGAATTCCATGGCAAACCCACACGAGCAGCGGGAGGACCCCTTCAGGGAGAAGATGTTTGACTCTCCCCGCGCAACTACCGTGCCGCAGGCAGATGTAGCAGGACAGACCATGATCACTCCTTTTGCCGAACCACAAACAACGTACACCACTTCAGAGCAGCCGGAACGATTTGGACAGCCACAGGGTCACACGACCTCTAATCAGATGTTCAACCTGCAACAGCCTTTCTACGAGAGCCCCAAATCCCCTGGTTTATCAGGACCGTTACCTCCACAGCCTCCATTATCGCTCACCATGGAAAAATTTGTGCCAGGGACGGGGGAACAGACACAAGAGCAGCGACAGGAACAGCCGACGTCAAACTCCAGGTTTTGGACTATTGAATTTTACCAGCGCTTCTTTGATGTTGACACCCGTCTCGTACTCCTTCGAATGAGTAACGTCTTGGCGCCTGTCAATGCGCCAGACTTTTTGATGCACCGTGAATGGCGCAACGACGCCTTACAAACCCCCTCATATGAATTCCAAGAGGCAGGTGTTACGTTGTCGCAAAAACCCGACTTGTACGGTCCCTTCTGGATCTGCACCACCCTGTGGATGGCATTGGGTGTTGTCAGCAACGTTATGAGTAGAATTGCGTTTGGGCATCAGTCCTCTGATGACAAGAAGAAATGGGAGTATGATTTCACGATGGCATCCATTGCCTCTGTCGTTATCTACAGCTACTGCTTTGGACTGGGCTGTGTTGTGTGGGGAGTGATGAAATACAAGGAGCTACCGGTGACATTGCTGGAAACGTTGTGTCTCTACGGGTATAGCATGTTTTTATTTCTGCCTGTGACGATTCTCTGCGCGATTCCGGTGTCTGCACTCCAGTGGGTTATTGTGATGGTGGGCGGGGCGTGGTCAACGGCATTTTTGCTTATTAACTTTTGGCGTCTTTGGGAGGCGACGCTGAATCGCGTGTGGTTTTTGGGCATCGTGGCGGTCGTCAGTGTGTTCCATATGCTGCTGACGATGTCTTTCAAGTTTTACTTTCTGAATTACAAATTTTAGCTGGAAATGACGCCAAGCAAAGAAGAGGAAAGGAATTAAAAAAAAAAAACAAAACAAAAAAAAAAAAAAAGAGAAGAAAAACGAGAAGAAAAATGGTCTAGAAGTTTCCTCTTTTTTTCTTTTTCCTTTTTTTTTTTCTTTGTTGTTGTTGTTGTTGGTATGATGCCTCGTGGAAGAAAAACAACCAACAAAGAAACAACCCTTTGACCCATTGTGTGGAAAAACCACCTTTATATATAAATATACGTATGTGCATACAACATGTTTCCCTTTGGTTGGCTGGTTTACTTTCTTTTGCGGTGCTTCCTCGTTGTACCTTTTTTTTCTCTTTTTTTTTTTTTTTTTTTTTTTAGGGTTTAGGATTGCAATTTCCTTTTTTATTTTTCCGTTTTTGCTGGTCTTTTTTTTTTCATTGTTTTTTTTTTTTTTTTTTTTTTTTTTTTTGTGATCCTTTATACGAATGCGCCCGGTGGTTGTGATTTTGCTTCACGAGCCAAGTGACACCCCTGCCTACATGGAGGTGTACCTGACCAAGCGTGGAATTGACTACGTCACCTACGAGTTTTGGAAGGACGAAATGGCAAACCTGGTTCCAGCCTCCGTCAAGAACTGCATCCGTTGTGTCAAGAGGGACGGCGAGGCGTGCCGCTTCACTCCTGTCTCCGAGACGTCCGTGGAGGGGGAATATTGTTGCATTCGCGGCGTTGCCAGTTTTGGCGGCTCGATGAGTGTCAACGACGAACTTCCACACTACGCACCAATTCTCAGCTTAATGCGCTCATGCATTGAGACACGTACCCCTGTTATTGGTCACTGCCTGGGAGGCCAACTCCTGT